TAATCTTTCCGTACTTGCGCTAATAATAAATTTAATAAAAATGTCTTCACAGTTCCTCCAGGAGCATCTAAAAAGAAAAGTGCATCATTTCCAGATTCAATTTGTCTCAATACTTTGTTAAAAATTCGTTTTTGTTAGGGAAGCAAGCCGGGTACAATTTCAGCTACTTGCTGCTGCAAAGCTGGTATATCGTAGTTTGTTTCCGTATAATTTCGTATAAGTTCATTTTCGGTTGTTTGCTGAGGGCTTATCATTCCAAAGTCGCTTAATTTTTTGCCTACCATTGCCATTACCTTTTCTTCAAATTTTCCAAGTGCTTCATTATAAATGTGTTTATTGTATGTTATGTTTGCGTGTGTCTGCTGTAACCTTCGCAAAATATCTTCCGCCATGTACTCTTTATATTTGTCCTACAATTCATGTGCATTAGATAGCCCGCAAGATGATATGAGAGTTGCATAAAGATCCCTAATTTTGGCTGGTGACTGGCACTGCACAGCTTCCTCCATGGTTTCATCCCAGTGATTATCGTTTTCTAAAAGATGCAGAGCTTCACATGCTTCTCTATAAGTTGCGCATTCCTGACCGTTGACAGTTTTAAGGTCTTTATATCCTGTAGGAACCCGAACATGGTGCAGCAGCAATCCTAAACAGTAACATTGAAGATTAGTTACATGGACGGTATACACACGACCAAGGGCATCTGATGACTTTACACCGGGCCAATTTGCAACAGGCGCACCTTGAATACGGCGTTTCCACTCCTTCCTAGATGTGTTCCAAGTATAATAGCGGGGGAATTCAGAATATAACAACGTTTTTGCAAAGGGGTCGGTTTGACAAAGTTGAAAGAAGGCTGTTAGTGTAGTTTTTGGCGGTGATGCAATTTTTTCTTCGAAATTTCTTTTGGTGAAATATACACGCTCTCCATTTTCTAAGTGCACAGCAAGGTAGTAACTGTTGGGTGCCTATCGTGTAAAGGGAAGCCAAGGAGACGCCACGCTGCCTCGTTACTGCTGACATAACGCCCTGCTTGAAAGGTCTGTACTTCATTAACGGGATTTGCCTCACCTTCATTCCTGAGATTAAATATTGCTTGGTCGTTTCCTTTATTTATGTACTTACAGATATACCTGATTGCGCGGACAGAGCTAAATGCTTCTACATTAACGTGGGCATTATATATTTTACATAGAATGGGCGAATACGGGATAATCCAGCTGTTATCTAAGGTTTCAAACGCTCCAGAGCGAGATTTGATTGTAACTTTCCTGCGACCATCTTCGGGAGCTCTGTGTCTGTATAAAGGGTAGCCATTGTCATTGTGCACTGTTTCTTTTAATAGCTGTTTAGGGAATTTCTTTGTACATTTTCCTTCTTTCATACATCGCGACTACCCCACATATTGGTCACCTCGTTAGCCGGGTCCAGATATTTTGTCCGTTTATCTGTTTCGGCTTTCACGAGGTTCTCGTCATACGGAATGGTAATGTCTACCAAAAATATCCTTGACTGTGCCCGGTCCATCAGCACAATATCAGGCTTATTCGCAAGAATAGTCCTGTCTGTTATGATGGCCCGGTCCCAGTAGAGCCTGGCGCGGTCATTTTCGAGCACGGCTTCCAGCAAGTACTTGTAATACGGCATTTTCTGGTCCACGAGACCGCATTTCAGAGCGAGCTCCTGGTGTAGAATTCTGGCTACTAGGTTGTGCCTGTGCAAGTACTCAGAGTTAGTTATTATTATTATTAGTATTAATCCTTATTGATTTATAAATTGAATGATTGATTGTTTAAAAAACTGTATCATATTTAGCGTTTTGTGGATACCGGAAAATCATTTTAGTCTTGTTGTACTAAATAAACTTACCTATAATTTATAAACGAAATTTTTTGAGATATCAAAACTTTCTGTAGTATTTTTGTATTTATTTATTTATAAAGTCTTTCTCTATATTATTTCTTTTACAAATTGGCGAACAACAAAATATACGGCGAATACATAGAAGAGACTTGTACGAATATTATAATTGATAACAATTTTTTTTCTTGTGAAATACAGTAAGATTTCATTACAGATTAAATTAATATAAAATGAAACTACAAAATTTCAGTAATTATAAGTTTAACAATATTTCAAAGGAATATTAATAGTATAGAAAGTGTATACGGTACCCATACACTTACTTCTTTTTTCTTTGGTTATATTTATATTGACTACTGCTTTCGATTTCGGTTTTCTGCGATTTGTTTTAAGTTGATTCGATTTTTTTGGCTATCGTTTTCGGATTCGCGTTGTGTCTTGAATATCTTGGTTTTGTTTTTTTTTTTATTTAAAAAATATTTAAAAGGAATATTTATTCCTTTTAGATATTTTGGATTTGCTTTAAAAAAATATTTAAAAGGAAATTTAATTCCTTTTAGGTATTTTAACGTCTTTTTAGAAATAGGTTTTTTGTTACTTTATAATGCCTCGCAAACGTAAGTCCAGCCTTTCAAGAGTATTTTCTCAAAGACAAGCGAAAATATTAGCTCGATCGCTAAAATCTTTAGAAGATGCTGAACTGAGAAGGCAAGAACAAGCAGAGCGTCAGGCTGCTTTTAGAGCATCCGAGACACCTTTTGAACGTCAGCAAAGACGTCTTGAACAGACAGAGCGTCAAGCTACTTTAAGAGCTTCTGAAACACCTTCTCAAAGTCAGCGAAGGCGTCTTGAACAGGCAGAGCGTCAAGCTACTTTAAGAGCTACTGAAACACCTGGTCGAAGTCAGCAAAGTCGTCATGAAAAGGCAGAGCGTCAAGCTACTTTAAGAGCTACTGAAACACTTGCTCAAAGTCAGCAAAGGCTATTCGAACAAGCGGAACGTCAGGCCGTCTTAAGAGCCGCGGTAACACGTGATGAAACTCAACACAGACTCATTGAGCAAGCTGAACGTCAACCTACTATAAGGTCATCTGAAACACCAGAACAGACACAGGCGCGAAGAGATGCAAATGCACAGCTCCAAGCTGAACGTCGACAAAATTTTCAAAGAAACAATTGGTCGGTTGTTAATGACGCAGCATTCAATTATGATCCGTTGATTGATTATAAAATCATAGATTAGTTATTATCGGACTAATAGACAAGGCGTGTCGATTTTGCAGCGTTTTAAAATGGAAAGATGAGACTGCAGGCATGTGCTGTTCCAATGGCAAAGTGTCTCTTCCGTTACTTGGGGAACCAGAAGAACCTTTGAAAACTCTCTTTTTATATGATGCTAATGAGTCACGGCGCTTTTTAAACAGGATCCGGAAATATAACTCATGCTTTCAAATGACGTCGTTGACCGGGAAATAATTATGCCGGGATTTTCGCCCACATTTACGGTGCAAGTGCAAATTTATCATAGAATAGGTTCACTTTTCCAGCTGAAAACGAACAGCATAAATTTTTACAAGTATATTTTATGGGTGACGAAGAAATTAAGGTAGACCGTCGCTGCCAATTTATCCAGGGAGTTGAGAGAGACACAGTGTTCAAAATTCAAAGATTCTTGCATGAACGTAACATTTTAGTCGAAATATTTAAAACTGCTTTAGAAAATCTACCCGAAGAGGATTATAAAGTCGTCATTCACGCAGATTGGACCCCTCGAGGAGATCATGAAAAGCGCTACAATGAACGTTTGATAAACGAAATAGCAGCCATAATTAGTGGTGATCAATTTTCTTCACGAGATATTGTCTTGTGAGCACGTGATGATACGTTGCAACGGGTAGCCGATACACACAAGTTTTATGACGCTCTGCAATACCCATTGATTTATTGCAAAGGACAAGAGGGTTATCATTTTCTAATTCCACTCATTAACCCGGTCACAAAGGAGCCCACTCCGAACAAGTAACTATTATGTATGGATTTTTATGCGTATCATATTATGTTGCAAGAAAATGATTTTAACCTCTTAGCCTGTGTAGACAATTATTTCATCAATTTTTAGTAGACATGTATGTGAAGGTAGAAAGTGAACGTCTCCGTTATATATCTTCAAATCAAAAAAACTGCGCGTTGAGAATTATATACATTTCACCCCAGAGATTTAGGTCAAATGGTAATTCTGCCCTCATCATTCGTTAACAGTCCCCGCTACCTACATGAGTACATACAAGACGCATTCGCCTATGTACGAACTTACGAAAGACCTGATCTTTTTGTTACTTTTACTAGCAATCCCATATGGAAAGAAATGACCGAGGAGCTAATGCCGGGCCAAAAAAGGTACTGACGGACACGATTTAGTTGCTATAGTATTTAGATATACATAGTACAAAAATTAATGTATGTAATTAACAAAGGGAAAATTTTCGGAGAGGTGCAGTGCTTCATGTATTCAATTGAATGGCAAAAAAGAGGATTACCGCATGCCCACATTCTAATATGGCTTATAAAGAAGTTGCGGCCCAGCCAAATAGACGACATAATAAGCGCCGAGATTCCGGATCCTGAGCAAGATAAAGAATTGTGATACCATCCTCCGAAATATGATTCACGGTCCATGTGGAGCACGAAATTCAATATCGCGTTCTGGTCATCTGAGGCGACTGGGACTCCGTGACGGACCGCTCCGGGCTCAAATGCAGAAGGCAGTGGTCCTCGATACCTCCCGCATCTTTCGTCGGTTTCTTTCCCTTTCCTCCTAACCCTCGGCCGTTTGGCCTCCTCTGCCGAGGGCTTCCATCTGGTTGGATCTTTATTTATTTGTGTATTTTTTGTATTTATTTTATTTTATTGATATTTATGTATATCTATCTTTTCATTTTAAATTATAATTATATATTTATAGAAACCAACGAGATGAGAAAACTATACAGATACCCCTATAATAATAAAGTAAAGTAGTGCTATCCCAGCCTGGAGAACAAGAATTGAAGAACGTATCGCAAAGGCTAGGGCCCTCATCGGCAGACTGATATGCTCAGTCAGGCAATGCCAGGCCAAGGATTGTGCACACCGTCAGGATGGCGTTTGCTGGGACAAACCTTAGTTTGACCCAGCCGGATATAATGCAAAAACTGACGGAGCGCATAGACGACCTGAAGCAGAGAATCGCTGCTTGGGGAAAGCGGATTCGTCGATATACCGAGAGGTCGCCATGGTTCAACCAGAATCGTCTCTTCCAGAGTGATCAGAAGAGGCTCTATAAATCGTTGGAGCGACCAATATTAAGTGGAACGGGCTCAGTACCGAATCAGGCCGACACGGTCGCATTCTGGCGCAGCCTGTTGTCAAAGCCCGTAAACCACAACGAGAGCCCTTGGACGGAAGTTGTGGAGAGTCAGTGTGCGGATATTACGCCCATGGACCCCGTCATCATAACGCCGGATGACGTAGCTAAGGCGGTCCGTGGGCCCCGAACTGGAAAAGTCCGGGGCTTGACGGGCTGCATCACTACTGGCTGAAGGGGTTCATGGTGTGTCATGCTGTGCTCGTCCGACAGTTTCAAGAGGCTCTCAACCAGAAGTCGCTCCCGAGCCTCTTCACTACTGGGATCACTCATTCGGTTCCTAAAGATCAGGGTGCCACAGACCCGAGCAAATACCGCCCTACCACGTGTACCGACCATATACAAAACACTAACATCCATTTTGAGTGCGAGAATAACTCGTCACCTGGACTCAAATCAGGTAATGTCGCGCGCTCAAAATGGATATCGGGGCGGCTGTCGTAGAACCAAGGAATCACTCCTCATTGACGCGGTCATTGGCAAAATGGTGAAACGTAATCGTCAGAACTTCTCCGCCGCCTGGATAGATTGCAGAAAGGCATTTGACTCAGTTACCAATACATGGCTAAAGAGAGTCCTCGAACTGTACAAGATAGACTGTACAGTTAGACTTCCTCGAGCAGTGTATGGGGAAGTGGAGTACGATTCTCTGTCATCTAGGCGAGCGGATGACGGCTGCGGAAAGCCGCATAAGGATAAGAAGGGGTATATTCTAGGGCGACTGTCTGAGTCCAATCTGGTTCTGCCTCTCTTTGAACCCTCTCAGTACTTTACTGGAGGGCTCCGGAAGGGGATTTCAGCTTCGGAAAGGAGGTACAAAAGCGACCCACCTTTTCTAAATGGATGACCTCAAATTATTCGCCTCCAGTCGCTTCCATCTTATGGAATTGCTAATCATCGCTTGTGAATTTAGCAATTCTATTAGAATGGAGCTGGGGACGGATAAGTGTGCGGTCCTCCATGTTGAAAGGTGAATGATTGCTAAATCTGAGGACATAGACTTATCTATGCCCGTCAACTTAAGGACCCTTTCCGAGGCTGAAACATTGGTATCGATGAGGCTGGTATGAAACAGTCAGTTTGCGACGTGTTTTATGCATGCTTGACCAAAGTGCTTAACAGCCTTTTGTTCGGTGTGAATAAGACACACGCATATAATGGCTGGGTCATGCCTGTCCTCATGTATACCTTTGGCATACTCAGGTGGAGTCAGACTGAACTTAACGCCCAGGATAGAAAAGTCCGCACTACAATGAATGTAATGAGGCTGTACTTGCCGCGAAAGCATGGTGGGCGTGGCTTTTTGAGCGCGCTCACCATGCATAATCGCGAAGTGTGCAGCCTCCGTCATTACTTCCTGGCGAGATCGGATGATCCATTCTATAATGACGTCATTTCTAGTGACAAAGGACTTATCCCTCTATCCTTAGCCAACGAGCAATGACAGGACACGGCAGTACAGAGCATTTTCGACCGGGAGACCGTATGGAATGAGAAGGAGCTCCACGGGAGGTACTACAGGGCTCTACATGAGCCCCACGTAGATACAGCCGCATCCCTCGACTGGCTACGTTTCGGTGACCTCTTCGGGAAAACCAAGGGTTTTGTCTGTGCAATACAGGATCAGGTTATTAAGACCAACAACTATCGGAGATACATCCTAAAGGATGGCAATGTCGACGTCTGTTGAGCTTGTCGCCATCGCGGGGGAGTCACTTAGGCATGTCATCTCCAGTTGTTCGGCGCTTTTTAACTCTGAGTACTTGCACAGGCACAACCTAATAGCCAGAATTCTACACCAGGAGCTCACTCTGAAATACGGTCTCGTGGACCGGAAATTGCCGTATTACAAGTGCTTACCGGAAGCCGTGCTCGAAAATGACCGCGCCAGGCTCTACTGGGACTGGGCCATCATCGCGGACAGGACTATACTTGCGAATAAGCCTGATATTGTGCTGATGGACGGGGCACAGTCAAGGATATTTTTGGTCGACATTACCATTCCGTATGACGAGAACCTCGTAAAAGCCGAAACAGATAAACGAACATAATATCTGTACCTGGCTCACGAGGTGACCGATATGTGGGTTGGTATGCATACCGAAATTATTCCTGTAGTCGTCTTTGCGAATGAGCTAATCCCAGTCAACCTCTCGGGTGATCTGAGGCGACTGTGACTCCGTAACGGACCGCTCCGGGCTCAAATGCAGAAGGCGGTGCTCTTCGATACCGCCCACATCGTCCGCCGGTTTCTTTCCCTTTCCTCCTACCCCTCGGCCGTTTGCTATTTGCGTTTCTCCCCTGGCGAGGGCTTTCATCTGGTTGGGCTTTTATTTATTTATGTTTTTTGTATTTATTTTATTTTAATTATACTTATGTATATCTATCTTTTCATTTTAATTTATAATTATATATTTATAGAAACCAACCAGATGAGAAAACTATATAGATACCCCACTGAATAATAATAATAATTTATTGACACAAAGTAAGGCTCACATTATTTGTCTTTAAGACATTTGAACAAATGGTATGAATTATAACTTATCTAAATTTTATACACTAGCGTCTAAACTAGGCCGAGCCTGTATCTTAGACACTAGTCAGTTCCAAAGGCACCATTATTTACAGTTATATTAAATATACCATATTATGATTCATTTAGTCTATTTATTACGCTACAAATTCGCAAATACATTACCACTTTTTTGCGTTTACCGTCACATTAACTTATTATGCGTATGAAAGGTTAGACTACTACTTAGGAACTTTTTTAATTTCTTAATTTATAATGCAATAAATGATTATTGTTATCACAAGTCAAAGAACTCTTTTTTTGGTGATAGGTTACAATGAAGTATTGCAAAGATATATGATAAATAACTTTAGTAATTCTACAGGTATTTAACAAAATTTATGCAATGTAAAGTGTCATATAAATATTATATAATTATTTAATTCATGGTTTTTGTTTTTAAATTACATTTTGACTTTATTAAATATAGTTTTATAAGTAGCTATAAAAGTAAAATAATTTTTTAATTATTATAATTAAAGTATATAGTAAAGTATATAGTAGTAATGAAATATTCTAATGTAATATTATTTTGAAAAAACCAAGAAATTTTCAGTTTCTTCTGTATTTTGAGTTTTTAACCAAGATAATATTAGTTTTTTTAAGAATATATTTGTAATCTACTCGATATGTAGAATTATATTTGCTTCTTATTCATTTATTATATAATATATTATATTTTTTTGCTTAAACCATTTTTTAAATAGTAGAGCCATGGTGAAACTTATAGTTGTAGCACAAATGGGTCGGCTCGACCGGGGAAGGACCATGCTCTCACAGAATACAAGTGTTAAATAACAGCTTAATGCTGTTATGTTTCGTATGGTGAGTGTAGAGAACCAGATCTCCTTTTTACCGAATACGAGGCATTCCATCTCAGACCTCAGGGATGACAACTGATTTTTGTTTTGAATCGTAATTGGGATAGATATAGATGTATATGGGTCACAGCATCCATTTACCTACAGGTGGGCTGTGTGCTCACTTGTCACCCTTATTATATAAAATAATGAAGAACATTTGTCCTTACCTGTTTGCACAGACCAACCACACAGTAAAAGCATCGCTATAAAATTAGAATACACAAGACGTGGACAGAAATGTGACAATATATAGAGATAGTACAATTGCTATTATAGATTTCCGAGCATTTTGAATATACAACAATTTAATGTAAATACCTTCTACTACAAATGAAGGTATCCAGTATAAAATTTTAGTATTTTGATATCATACGCATATATTTTACTAGAATAGCAAAAAGAGAGAGCAATGATATTTTTCGGAAATGTGGGTATATATATATATATATATATATATATATATATATATATATATATATATATATATATATATATATATATACACAAACACGCACATATGACTTGATCATCGGCATAGAAAAGGCATTTGACGGTTAACTCGCCCATTCATAACCTACATTCTTCATCTTTCAAAGTTTGTAAACACCTGTCCATAAATAGGTTGAACAGCCAAGGGGAAGCTACACAGCCCTGTCTGACACTTTTTTGGATACCAAACCAGTCCGAGTAGACCCCATTGATCCTGACACAAGCACTAGAGTCCCTATAAAGAGACCTTAATGCCTGTATCAAACCAGCGCTCAACCCATATGAGTTCAGTGTTTGCCATAACACATTCCTGTCCACTCTGTCATAAGCCTTTTCCAAGTCCATGAACGAACCAAAAACTTTCTGGTTTTTGGCCAAAAAACTTCTCCGCAATCATGCGCATGGAAAAGACTTGATCTGTACACCCCATTTTCTTTCTAAAACCCGCTTGCACATCCCAAATTTTTCCATCAGTTTCTTTCATAACTCTTTCAATTAACACCATAGCATACAGTTTACCCACAATACTAAGCAAGCTGATACCACGGTAGTTTTTGCAGTCCTGCTGTGACCCTTTTCCTTTATATATTGGTACTATAATTGCTTTACACCAGTCATCCGGTACCCGTTTCAATCCCAACATAAATTAAACAAGGTGTACAGCAGTTCTTTCTTTCTTTTTCCTTTCAACAACTTCTTTTACTCTCTTATTTAGACGTCTAAATTCTGCCTTTTTTCTTTCAATCTTATCATTCATACCAGAAGAATTTTTTTTGCTGCTTTGTTTGCTAGTAAATCTAACCATGCTTTCTTCTTTGATTCAACTTCCACCCGTACCTCATCATCCCACCACAACGTATTCCAAGAAACATGAAAAGGAAAATTTTCAGTACTCCTAAATGAATCTACATTATTTTGAACTCTATACCGGTGAAAACATTAATCAATTAATGCGATCTGGTGGTATTTTCTCGTGTATGCCGTAAGAGGCTATAGAGAGGAATGCAAGCGGAGATCAGGGCAGCGGCATCTTCCTTATAACAACTCAAAATAATTGAAAAACTGCGACTGCCATGCGCGGCAACTATGGCAATAATTCTTTTTTTTTTGCAGACTATTGACAGGCTGTGATGAATGATAAATTATGTAATGAGAATAAAATAGTGAATTATGGCGCAAAAATACTAGTGAACATTTATAATTGGTGACGGCATAAAGATAGTAAGATATTTCGATGGAGGTTTTTTT